AGGCCCCCGCCGTGGCCCCGCCGGGCCCCCCGGTCGAGAAGTGGGAACGCAACACACATGTACCGAATGACATTTAAATTTAATTTATTTGAGAAAAAATGCATTTCATTACTTTTTATTTTTAATTTTTATTGCCCTAACAGGTAGACGAGCATATGGCCCACCTGATCGTAAGTAGTTACAGTCGCTCATGGACGTCAACAATGCCAGGAACAGAGCCAAGCCGCTGCCTACCGCTTATTACTCTCCACAAGCCTCGTTTGAAGAAGGACATCTCATAGCGCTCGGGAAACACCGTGGAGGGGAGCTCATTCCAAAGCCGGATAGTGCGTGGCAAAAAAGATCTCTGGAAACGGACTGCGGATGAACGCAGTGGCTCCAGGTAGTATGGATGAACTCTACTCCGGTGGCGAGCGGTGTGATGGTAAAAACGAGATGATGGTATCAAATTATTACGTAGGTACTATTAAAAAAATATTTGCTTGGGAAACGTAGGCTCAGGAATGACCATTATTTGTTATTAAGAATTAGCTCATCAAGTCTCGTCGCTGTCGTAAAGTGGTTTACCGATTTTGACATCATATGCTCACGGATGGGTTCGAGACACGAATGTGAAGATCCGCATTCCTCTCGGACCATTGTCTTTATTGAGATAGTCTACGTGTGGGTCATGTGACTCGGATACGCATAATATGTAAAGCTACACCTGATCAGGGATTCGGGGAGTGGGGTGTAGTAGTGACGCGCCCCCACTTCGATAAAGCGGCACGACACGAGAACCCTCTCATCGTGGCCGCCGGTAACTACATTCCCGATCCTATGGACAGAATGGAAAGCAGTCGACGTCGCCCAAAACACGTCATTTCGGATCTTCCTGATCCACTAACGGTGCTTTTAGGTACCTCAAGCACCGGTCAGCGTTCTCGTCGAACCCATCGCTTGCCACGAAGGGCTCGACGAGTAAATTAACCCTCAGACACAGCCCACTGAGTTTCTGGCCGGATCTTCTCAGTGGGTCGCGTTTCCGATCCGGTGGTAGATTCTGCGAAGCACTGCTCTTGCTAGGGTTCGTGTTAGCGACGTCGTCGTTAAGCGCCGTGAGCTCACCTACTAGTTAAGATTACGCTGAAATAGCCTCTCAAGACGCGCCTATCTATCAAGCGAACGTTTCCTCACACACGCGACAGGCGCATGGGAGTATAATATAGCCGATAAGTACTCACTTGTGACATTCGCGCAGTGCACTCGATGACGCACTCAACACGCGGCTGGGTCTTGCAGGCCGCATACAAGGACCCTCGTAAGACAAGACATAATGTTAGCCTCTCAATATTGCTCTTGTACGGCTAATTAATGGCGCTGCTTCGGCGTAGAGGTTGTGGGAATGCAGACGAGCGCTTTGTGGGACATTCGCGATCCAACGCTGTAGGTACTTTTCACGCGCTTTATATTTATTTGAACTGACATGTTTATTCAGTCTACTGGTTAGGCGGGAATAATGTACTACGTAGGCCATATTGGATTCACAGTCACTTTGATAAGAATGAATAAGAGATATTAGAGTCTATATCAATGTATATCAACTATAAGTTGTACATTAATTTAACGCTGTTTGTATGAATGTAAACCATTTGATCTATCGAAGGGTACACAAAACACGAGTAAAGTAAACATTTTGATCATGGTTTGTGTTATACAAATATATCAGAAATCTTCAGAGCATTTACTACAAGAGCAATCATTCGCTCATTTTGAAAACCTATTAAATTCGTTTTTTTAATGCCCTTATAGGCAGACGAGCATACGGCCCAGCTGTTGGTAAGTGATTACCGTCGCTCATAGACGTCAGCAATGCCAGGGCCAGAGCCACGCCGCTGACTAGTGCTACCTAAGTCTATCATTCGTATTAGGTGTGCTAGTACAATATGTTTGTTTATTTTGTAGTACATCTAATTTAGATTTGCATCAAACTATAGTAATTGGACAACACCGCAGTGTCTGTACATAATTTTTTTCAGCTGCCTGAAACCATCGAGCAGGAAATAATAGGCAAATATTACAAATAACCGCTCGTCTGCCCGCCCCACTCCGCCCCGCGATATTAGATATTTGGAATTCAGACGTTACGTTCATAAACAAAATTGAATGTGACAACCACTCGAATGTATTATGCGATTCTTTTATTAAATACCTTCGTTAATTAGCACGCGGCCATAGGGACAGGCGGAGGGGTTGGGGGACGGGGAAACTAACAATGACCTTAGTACCTTTTTTCCTATGTATTCGCTGGTAGTAAGAGACTATTTCAGTTACGCCCAGACGGGTAAGTGAGCTCACGGGGCTCTGGCCTGTGGACGTTGCTAACACTAGCCCTAGCAAGAACAGTGCTTCGCAAAATCTACCACCGGATTGGAAACGCGACCCACTGAGAATATCCGGCGAGAAACTCTGTGAGGTGTGTCTACGGGTTATTTCGCTCGGACGGTGACCGGTGCTTGAAGAGCCTAAAATCCGACAGATCAAGACAAGATCCGACAAGACACATTCCGGTCGGCCGTGTAGGTATAATAAATACTCACTACCTAAATATCGTCACTAATTATTTAATATTAAGACACAAAAAACCAAGTTTTCCTTTTTCCAAGTCTTACCAAGGGTGGCTGTTTTTTTTTTTTTTGCATCGGTTGGTGGACGAGCTCACAGTACACCTGGTGTTAAGTGGTTACTGGAGCGCCACCCACCTTGAGATATAAGTTCTATGGTCTCAGTATAGTTTCAACGGCTGCCCCACCCTTCAAACAGAAGCTTGCCGTCATTCTTGCGTTCGGAAACTGAACACCATTCTTAAAATCACAGATTCGCGTGTGGAAAGATGTAGATATTTTTTTTCTTTAAGTATCGGTCATTTTTGTTTATACTGTGACATTGGCAAACTCAACCTCTAAGGCGTTTTTTTTAAATTATTGGTTAGATGTGTGGACGAGCTCACAGCTCACCTGGTGTTAAGTGGTTACTGGAGCATGTCTATGGAGACATCTACAACGTAAATGCGCCACACACCTTGAGATATAGTTCTAAGGTCTCAGTATAGTCACAACGGCTGCCCACCCTTCAAACCGAAACGCATTACTGCTTCACGGCAGAGATAGGCAGGGTGGTGGTACCTACCCGTGCGGACTCACAAGGTCCTACCACCAGTAATTACGCAAATTATAATTTTGCGGGTTTCACTTTTATTACACGATATTATTCCTTCACCGTGGAAGTCAATCGTAAAGCGGTAAAGGAATAATTTTGTGTAATGCCTAATACCTAACAATTAACCAGCAAAAATTTTGCGTGTTTATTAGTGGTAGAACGTCTTATGGGCCCGCTCGGGTAATCACCATCGATTACCACGTTCCTAATTTAAATTAGTTTTCACAATTAGCAACATTCAATTGTGATTGGCTCTTTTGCGGACAGTTTTCCGGTTCATAATACATACGTACTTAACAAATGTTCACGATTGACTTCCACGGTGAAAGAATGACATTGTGTAATAAAAATTACACCCATAAAATTTTTATTTGCGTATTTATTACTTGTAGGACCTCTTGTGAGTCCGCGCGGATAGGTACCACCACCCCGCCTATTTCTGCCGTGAAACAGCAATGCGTTTCGGTTTGAAGGGTGGGGCAGCCGTTGTAACTATACTTGGGACCTTAAAACTCACGTCTCAAGATGGGTATGGGACTGGGCCATGCGTTCGTCTATCAATCCAATCAATTACATGATATATACAATTACATGATACTTAGTATAGGTCCTTTGTTTCGTGAAAATAATGTCATGCATAGAGAGTTCCGCGTTATCGTTAATATGGATAAGCCGGCGAAATTAAATAATCAAAGAACTTGGATTCCGGTCGCCGTCGCAACTAATTGAAATAACAAAACGATAATTCGGCGAATCAAAGGATCCAGTCCACGTCCGCCAAGAGAGAGAGTCGATAAAAAGATTGCGAATAGCGTCCGGGCGGGCGGCGGCCCCGCATTCCTTATTCAACGGCGGCCGAAAATTACGAGTTTCTTTACAAGAAATTGCACTCAGCCTCCGACACTCGCTTCAATTCGAGCACACTTATTTACCGTTCGGCCTCTACCGGCTCTATTTATTTTTCCCATTACAAAAAAAAAAAAAAACTAGAGAAACGCCCTGTACGAGAGTACCAACCGTAATATTTCAATATCCCCGTTTGGGTGTCAGCCCTGCTACATCAAAGTGATTTCCGACGGCGCTCATTGGTCGAAAGGGCAGCGTTCGATATTTGAATTCCTGGACAGAAAGAGACGGAGAGACGCGATCTGTATTATAACGTCACGGGCGAGAGAAGGACCGACACATTTGAATCGATGATGAATTTTGTATGAACGTGAGAGAAGCATATCAATAATACGCGAACGAATGAAATAATAGATTATTCGTTTGTTCAAATCGAACGTAAACAAAAGTCAGCCGTTGTAGTGTTCTGGGAGCGGTCGTAGAGCGGGACGGGTGTCGGTCCGCGGTGCGAGAGACAGAGACAAGCGTAGTCTGTCAGCTCCGCAGTCGGGCCGCGCTCCGGCACAATGGTGAGGCAGTTTTTGTAGCAGTCTTCAGAGAGTATTCACATTACGCGATCATTTTAAGGGCGAACCAATCAAACAACAAATTCATACAAATTGATACTAAACTGTTTATATTAAATTTTATAACAAAAATTAAGTGTGCAAATAAGTTTGTATCGCGCCGGTAATTAAAACTAATTGGGTTTAATACAACGATAATTATTTTGTATTAATACCTCGTTCGGAGCGAGTTTGGAGATTGAGTTTTTTTTTTTTAAAAACGGAAAATGACCTTTCGCCGTCGCTAATGGAGGGAAGTGCTCAGTGATTATATTTTACTTTAGAATTGTTCTTGTGTGGTGTTTAAAAGATGGCGGCATAGGGGGCGGCCAGGGTTGGCCCTTTGAGGCCATGCTCAACAACCTCACCGCGACAGCCCTCGGAGGTGAGAACCATTAACTATCATTGTTATTACAACAGAACCTTCATAGTACTCGGCCGCGAGCAGCAATGGAGTTTCAAATGTGGCACAATCGCTGTACAAAATATTTGAGACGTCCGCCTCATGTCTCAAAGTGGGTGGCGGCGTTATCATAATGATTTCTATGAATCCCGGTAACCACTTAGCGCTAGGATGGCCGTGAACTCATTCACAGGTTTGAGCGTTACACAAATTAATAGATTGAATTTAAATTCCCGTTCGGACGTAAGTCGAATTTCCTATCGGCAATATTTGAAAGTATGCAATAGGTATGGACATTGTTGCAATGGATTGGATTGGCATACCAATGGATAGCAATGGACATTGTTATCGACCTAGTTCAAAATAACAATTATAAATCCAAACTGCTCACAAAAGGGGGAATCTCGAAGGGAATTTCAATTTTAAATTGCTTTATAATCTTTGAATTTATAAATAGTAACAAAACGCGTTTGTGTCTAGGCACACGTCGGAAAGTGTGTCCTTTTGTTTGAAAAAACGATATTAACATTTTTATATGTAAGCATATGTACATAGTAGGTATCTAGTAATAGTAAAATATAGATTAATATTTAAAAAGTAACTATCGGGGGGAAACTAAATTTAAGTGTCTCTCTTATGAGGGATGAAGCCTTGTAGTTCTGGGGAAAGTGGAAGGCACCAGACCGCGTGGAAGGTTGCCCATGCGATGGACGGACCAAGTCTAGTCGGCAGTTGGCGGCTGTTTGCAAGAGTGTACCAGACTCACCACAAACTGTGGTAAACTTTTTTGCTGGCGGTAGGACCTCTTTTGAGTCCTCGCGGGTAGGTACCACCACCCTGCCTATTTTTGCCGTGAAGCAGTAATGCGTTTCGGTTTGAAGGGTGGGGTAGCCGTTGTAACTATACTGAGACCTTAAGAACTTATATCTCAAGGTGGGTGGCGCATCGGGAGGAGTGACGATTTCTCATGAGGCCCATAACATCAATGATGCTGGATGACGACCACGACCGCTCTGACAAGAGTGATGCGACAGGGACTTGTAAGGGGTTGTACATGTACGCCCGTACAAACATAAAATTACATTACCTACCATCTTTTTACCATCGCACCGCCCGCCACCGGAGTAGAGTTCATCTATACTACCTGGAGCCACTGCGCTCATCCACAGTGCGTTCCCACAGATCTTTTTTGCCACGTACCATCCGGCTTTAGAAAGTGCTCCCCTCCACGGTGCTTCCTGATTGCTATGACATGTTCTTCTTCAAACGAGGCTTGTCGAGAGTATTAAGCGGTAGGCAGCGACTTGGCTCTGCCCCTGGCATTGCTGAAGTCCATGGCCGACGGTAACCGCTCACCATCAGGTGGGCTGTATGCTCGTCTGCCTGCAAGGGCTATACAAAAAAAACTGTCTAATTTCGGGACGGGAAGTGATCCGTGTCGCTGCGTCACCAGTCCACTAGAGGCCAGGGCCACTATGAAAACGGTTGCTCAAGATCTTGACAGCGTGAAACGGAACGTATACCCTCACTTTTTATATTATCTGTGCTTTTTTTTCCTCAATCACGCCTTTGGCGCCCTTTTTTAAAAAAAAAACGAAAATTTTATCTACGTAATCATTACTATCGGACTAAAAACATACAAGCACATTTCCACAAATCGACTTATTATTTGTCCTGAGCGTGTAAATCCGTATTAGGTCCATCTACCATTTGACAATGTAAATCCGAAGCTTTTAGAAACAAATTGTTTTATTAGGTATAAACGATTTATTGAATTCTCCGTGTCGATCGACCGAGCTAGCTACGATCGGACAGTAGAGCGGGCGTGGGCTGGGTCATGTACCTCGGATACTCGCAGGAGGTTCAGCCCCCAACCCAAAAACAATGTACCTCGGGTGTTTCTTATCTGAATTACATACGAGCCACCTTGTCGTAACTGACTACCGGAGTCCGTGGTCTCCGCCACGTGAATGACACTACCCACCTCTAGACAAGCAATGGATGAGTTAATTGCACATACACTAAAAGGCGGCTAACGCCCGTTATAAGTTAATCTAATGAAACTACCCGCGCGCCACCTGCCCTATGTATACGACACACGTTGGGACGTACCCTATAATTCCAACAAACAAAGAAGCAAAGCTATATAAGTAAGACATCTACAACGTAAATGCGCCACCCATCTTGAGATATGAGTTCTAAGGTCTCAGTATAGTTACAACGGCTGCCCCACCCTTCAAACCAAATAAGCATGATGGTGGTACCTACCTGTGTGGACTCACAAGAGGTCCTACCACCAGTAATTACGCAAATTATAATTTTGCGGGTTTGATTTTTATTACACGATGTTATTCCTTCACCGTGGAAGTCAATCGTGGACATTTGCCAAGTACGGATTTCATTAGAAAAATTGGTACCCACCTGCGGGATTCGAACACCGGTAGGTACATCGCTACATACGAATGCACCGGACGTCTTATCCTTTAGGCCACGACGATTCAACTATTCATTCCATATGAATAGTAAAGATACAGGGCGAGCGGACGCTGTACCTGGGTCGAATTCAATGAACACACAACTAACTATATGTTATTTTTATGAGATTAATAAAATATAATTATACTTGCGTAAAGAATTTTGGGACAAAAGTAAGATCTTTCATCGAGCGGGTGATATTGCTCGGTAGACCGACGGTCCGAATGTTGTTGTTTGAAACTTGTATATGAGTCGACTATTATCAAAGCCGGCAATCTGACTTTTGGACAATGATTGGTAAATCAGAAAAACGAATTATTGACTTTGTATTCCATTGGCAGTCACAAAACTCTTCGGAACGACATCTTAGATAAATAACAGGTTAACTATTAACCTTTATTTAATGCAGGTTTTGAACCGTATTCTTTGAAGGAGACGATTATATTCAAACCAATCTGTATTGACATATCAATAATTTTTTTTTGTCCAAATGCACAGATTGCCGCCTTTGATAATAGACGACTCATATATGCGAGCTTACTCGTATCTTGAAAATGTTAGAAGCAAGATTCAACCATCTGTCAAATATCTTGTGTTACCTATTCATAGTGAAATGATATTTATACCGCGCTTGTTGGTAGAATAAAAGTGCTCTGGCTATAAATTGGCTATATACGCACTCTCCGTTTTGATAATGCCAATGACATGGTCACTGTTTACCGACACACGTGTTTATTGGCTTAGACAGAGCAAGGCACCCGGTAGGTATAGTACCTAGCGGAGACCTATAGGTTGCCTGAAAGCGAGGACATTATGCGCGGGGGTCGAAGTTTAGTCGAAGCTTTTAAGTGCTTAAGCTAGACACAGAACGGACATAGCGTAGGTATTTGTATAAAATATCACATTTAAAAATGGCAATCTTTAAAACGACTACATTTGAAATCGGTTTATCCGGTTCTCCCTTCAACACGCCTGCACGTCTGGGGGTAGACACGGCTCATTTTTACGAGATTCAATTCCGGTAAGTCCTGTTTATAGGGTACGCTTAATCCGCGAAGCTGTGTGGGTTTGATTTAATGGGCTTCCTCGCGGGGGAATTTGTTCGAATGTTCATTTTACAAGGATAGGCGCCAAAGCAGCGGCTTGGCTCTGCCGCTAGCATTGCTGATGTCCGTGGGCGACGGTATCGCGGACGGACCATCACGTGGACAATATGATCGTACAAAGGCAAAAAAAAATAAAAAAACATTTACCATTTACTTTTATGAAATACCTACTCATCTACTTCTTCATGTTCACGAATGAGTTCCGCTATGAAGATATAAAATCGTTTAGTAATACGAGTATGAAACCCATAAAATTGAGCTTTACGTAAAATATTTGGCCACCGCGAACCACCGACCCAGGCGATGATCAACGCACAGCCGCCCTGTTACGTCCTACCTTTTTTTGTAAACCTAGCTGAGAGCCTTGAGAGGCTATTTCAGCGTAACCTTAACTAGTACGTGAGCTCACGAGGCTCAAACCTGACGACGTTGCTAACACGAACCCTAGCAAGAGCAGTGCTTCGCAGAATCTCGACCCACTGAGAAGATCCAGCGAGAAACTCAGTGGGCTCTGTCTGAGGGTACATCCTACCGATCCTATCTCGGCACTTTGTCAACTTTCTCTAACCTAACCCATTGACAGATCTCACTGAGTTTCTCGCCGGATCCCTCAGTTGGTCACGATTCTAGTGTCGCTAGTGTAAGACCTCACAAGTTGACTCCCGTGAGTGCACCTACCAAACCGTGCGAAGTTGGAATAGTCGCTTGAGTTACCAGCGGTTAGGTATATATTTCTGTGGTTTTTTTATTTTATTGCTTGCATGGGTGGACGAGCTCACAGCCCACCTGGTGTTAAGTGGTTACTGGAGCCCATAGTTAACCACAACGTAAACGCGTCACCCACCTTGAAAGTTCTAAGGTCTAATAGTTACAACGGCTGCCCCACCCTTCAAACCGAAACGTATAACTGCTTCACGGCAGAAATAGGCAGGGTGGTGGTACCCACCCTGCGTGGACTCACAAGAGATCCTACCACCAGTAATTACGCAAATTATAATTTTGCGGGTTTGATTTTTATTACACGATGTTATTCCTTCACCGTGGAAGTCAATCGTGGAGCTATTATATTATAATGCATTACATAAATTGATTATAAGCCTTCAGATTTTAGTTATTACCTATGGTAGTATTTCGATTATTGGGTGAATACTATTAATACTAATACTGTATCATTAATAAACCTCACATGGTTTCCAACAGATAAATCGAATGACAAACCGTGATCCAAACTAAAACTTTGAACAATCTTTTCGACCGACCTACTAATTATGCATTGAGCAAAATCACTAACCTGAGAGGAAGTATTCCAATAAAATTTAGCTTTAGCTCGGACACATATTGTACGCCTAGGCAATGGTCCAGCTAACTTCAAAGCAAACAGCTCTGCTTCCTAGACTAGGATAAACAACATTATTCGGATGTAGGCTGCATTTTCTTTGAACATAACAAATTTAACAGAGAAAAATAGAGAATCTTGTCGGATAATATGCGGCCCGGCTTAAACGAGAGAATCAATTTGAGTGAAAAACCTAGATATATCCCCGAATTAATAAATTAATTTTCGTTTTTCGTCAGGCAACATTTGCAGTACTTCTCAACCAATAAATAACAACATTTTAACGATAATTTTTCATAATTTCGTCGTGTTTATATCAGAACTTTATAGCCATTCACAATAAGACCAATGCAGGGAGCCTTAAGCCGGCCATAGCCTCAATCACCGACAAACGAAAAACAAAAACTTAACTTTCATCGCAACACCGAAGTTAGAATTGCCAGTCTTCAGGAAATCACCCATTTCGTCGGGTAAATAGAATTTTGAGGAGAATCGTAAAAGCAACCTAAAGTGCTTTTATGTACGAAACTTTTCCAATTCAAAGCTTTATACCGAACATTCGTGCGTTCGTGAAAAAGCGCGGCTGTAATATGTTTTTTTATGATTTTTTCACGCGAACGTAATCATGAATATTATACCGCACAGTTGTTACACGATAAAGTTTTTATTGCTAACAAAAAACAACCCATTTCATGACTATCGCAACGGATACTCTCCATATTGGCGTTGACCGTGCTTTCGAATAAAACCAGACGTTATTGAAAAAATATCTTTAAGTGTTTCATGTTAATTGAAAGACAAAATTTGCAGATTTTTTTCTAAAGCTGAGGTCGGTCGTGGACACGTTTTAAATAAAGCCGCGTCATTGAATGTAGACTATGCCACTGACATCTAAAGTTATAATTAAAATAATAAAACTAAAAAAATACGCGTTTATAGAAAATCCAACTAAAAAATAGAAATGAAATCAATTCAAATTTTTTTTAATAAATTTGAATGAAAAATAGTGCAAGAAACAAAAAAATTGTAAAATAAGCGTGGGGTGCATGGTATCAGTAGTTATAAATATTTTATGAACAGATATGAGTAGAAGGGTTATTTTGATCATATCCTGAAAAGCACCCCACCCTTTTTTTACAATAAAATCATTTTTTCTTACACTATTTTTATTTTATTTATTATTAAAAAAATAATTCTATTTTTTTATTGGATTTTCTATAAAAGCGTATGTTTTTTATTTTTTTAAACTAACATTTATTTTTCATTTTTTAGTTGAATTTCAATTTATTCAATTTTTTTTTAAATATTGATTTGTGTTCGGTCCTTAAGTATGCCAAATTTCGAGTTAATCCGAAGTTTTGAAGGGGGTCAAAATCATGTTCAAAGATTCCGTTACATACTAACATACATACGTCTGAAGCTAATAAAAGCTTACTAGTGGTAGGAGGACCTCTTGTGAGTCCGCACGGGTAGGCACCACCAACCTTTCTATTTCAGCCGTGAAGCAGTAATGAGTTTTGGTTTGAAGGGCGGAGCAGCCGTTGTAACTATACTTGAGATCTTAGAACTTATATCTGAAGGTGGGTGGCGCATTTACATTGTAGATTTCTATGGGCTCCAGTAACCACTTAACACCACTTGGGCCATAAGCTGGTACATCCATCTATGCAATAAAAAATAAAAAGTAATTCGTGAACATGAACAAGTAGATGGGTACGTATTTCATTTAAAAAATGGTAAATATTTTTTTTTTGTCTTTGTAGGCACACGAACATATAGCCGACCTGATTACCGGTTACCGTCGCCCATGGACATCAGCGATGCTAGGGGCAGAGCCAAGCCGCTGCCTTGGCGCCTATCCTTGTAAAATGGGCTGTGAGTTCATCCACCCAACTAAGCACTAAAAAATAGATAAAAAAGCATATTAATGAGGTATGTTTCAGCAGGTCACAAAGAGTCGTGCCAAGAGGACAGCAAGCCGCACGAGATAAAGCCGAGTCTAGATCGGCCGCACCATGCGCTGGGCGTCCGGCTGCACGCGGCACACAACGTCCGCCCAGAACACTTACAGGGTATGATGTTGCGCCTTATCCTACTCACAACATAGCCGATGCCTATACTTGCGTAAACCTTAACTTAATTACAACTAATTTTACATAGTAATCTCATTTTATTATTTCCAATGCTCAAATACTTTAAGTCGTCAAAAGTAATGTTAAAAATTATTTTATTACCGATGGCAGGACGTCTTGTGTGCCTGAATGAATGTGTATCACCGCCCTGCCTATTTCTGCCGTGAAGCAGTAAAGCATTTCAGTTTGAAGGGTTAGAACTCATGTTTCGAGATGGGTGTCGCGTATGGATTCAAAACAATAAAAAATCTCTATGACGCGTTAAAACCGAATAAAATACTAGATTGTTTTATTGTCTTTATGGATGAGTGGTCGCTATCGCTCATAGACGTACCTACTATATACTATAGATACTAAGTCAAGAACCCACAATCTGTTAAAAGTCGCAGGAGTCTGTTGGATGTAGATTGCACAAAACCGACTATCTAAGAGAACCTTGTCCTAGAAAGATTATTGTAGAGACTCTATATCGAGCAATGGCCGCTCGTGGGCTAAAAAAAAATGGTGTGCATGCACGTGAAAGAAGTTAAACTTCTTTTGCGGTCTGTAGTAGTGTGATCTTCTTCATTTTTCATGCTTATCAAATTTCTCTTGTAGTAGTGAATGCTGTATAAGAGAAACAACCTAGCTCGCTTTGTCCTTTCTCTCTCTCCACGGTCGAGTGGTGCGCGAGACGCTCTAACTATTCTCTCACTCTTGCCCTTCCTAAATTGTATTTGTTTTCTCTAGCCGTAACGAATCTGTAGCGAGTTAAATTTTACTCTCAACGCGCCTAAAGAAGTTTCACTTCAAAAACTAACTCAGGATTATCTTGATACAGAAGTAAGTCAATTGCAAATCCACGCCGGCCAATCTTACTTGTCAATGGGCCCGGACTAGCAAAGTTGCATAACACGGCCAATTTAATTCCATTAATGATGTAATGCAAACAATGGAGCCTGCCAGACCGGAGATGGATGTACTGTGCAGATGAGTCACCGAGCTAACAACATGCTTGTAGGAAACTCACAACGTACAATCAATGCGCGTTATTTTAGGATGTTTACCAAATTTCATTCCCGATCCTGGGGGCCGAATGGTAAAGAGTCAACATCGCCCAAAACACGTCATTTCGGATCCTCCCGATCCACTAACGATGCTTTTAGGTACCTCAAGCACCGGTCATCGTTCTCGTCGAACCCGTCGCTTGCGACGAAGAGCTCGGCGGGTAAACTAACCCAGGCCACTGAGTTTTTCTGCGGATCTTCTCAGTGGGTCGCGTTTCCGATCTGGAGGTAGATTCTGCGAAGCACTGTTCTTGCTGGGATTAGCGTTAGCAATGTCGTCAGGCTTGAGCCCCGTGAGTTCACCTACTTGTTAGGGTTACGCTAAAATGGTCACTCAAGACCATCACCTCAGATAGGAAAAAAAAAAACAAATAATTATTTTAGCTTACGACGCAGTTCCTTGTCGAACATGTTGTAAGACCGGGTCAAGCTGGAAACATTGATAGCGTTTGTCTTATGCTGTAAAGATATAACTAAACCAATATTTTAGAGAGTCAATGTTAGCTTAATGTATGTATTTCAGTACACCAAAGTTTAGAGATGTAATGGAAATTCGTTCGACAAATAATGAATTGTTGATTTAAAAAAAGAGTTAACGTCGACTGATATTAATGTAACTTTTCAACAATGCTCTGTTGTATTACTTGCAACTTTATTGTTTTCTAATCATAGGGGATGGAACTAAACTTGAAATCAAAAGTACCTCAGTATCGCACGAAATAATATTCAGTGAACATTTGTGGGACGGCCACCTACCAGATGGATCGACGACCTGGTGAAAATTGCTGGGTCACGTTGGATGCAGGTGGCAACGGACCGGCCGCACGGCCGCAGTTGAAGAGGCCTATGTTCAGCAGTGGACAGTAGACAGGCTGAGATGATGATGATGAATATTTGAAAGAAGCCACAGTCTATTTTTCTTGTAGATTTTGTCATTTCACAAACAGTATAGCTTTGAAATTGTGTTCCCCCGGCAACAGTAGTGAACTGATCTCAGGACATTCTCAGTGATGCAGATCCTTCTAATCATTAATGTTTCTGTGTTGATATAAATTTTATTTCAAGCACTAAAAGTGCTCACTTTCTTGACTGCCTCAGTCTTATACGTAAAGGTCCTCTCTATTCAATTCAATTCCTCCGACAGTCAAATATTACATTTCATTCTTAAATTTTCGGATATTTTTCCGTCACTTACTCCCGGGGAAATTTCCGCGTGGCCTTTGATTCGCACCTATGCGAAGGTACCCGAGGGAAAACAGATCTTAGATCTCGCAACAGAGTACAATCATAGACAATGGCAGCCGGGAGACAATGCGGGCTCCGGTGGAACTTGACGAGAAACTGAGAACAGACAGACAGTCCAGGAAATCTTAACTATAACTCTTGGACTATTTATGAATGTGTAGGAGGGAATGTTTGTCAAGTCGTCGTGGCCTAAAGGTTAAAACGTCTGGTAAATTCGTGTCGAGCGAAGCACCGGTGCTCGAATCCCATAGGCGGATACCGATTTTCTGAAGAATTTAACAGGGCTTGGTGTTTATCCTTATAGAAGATATGAAGAACAGTTTGTGCAATGTGCTTTGTCCAATCATGGTGACCCGAGCAAGTTAAATCAGATTAAATTAAAGCCGGCCCTGTGCATGAAAAAATCGTGATACGCAACGACTTGCCTCCACACCTGACATATTCAACCGTTATCTATAGCTGCATACAGATAGTCATGTAGAGATGTTAAAGATTATCGAATATACCGCAGTTCCGTAATGACGTCACAACTAAACGCCTAGACGTGTCTACAACAAATACGTATAACTAAGAATCATTCCTATTATTAGAATATTTGTCGTTAATACAATTCGATCTTTCCATCGATGAGTTTACTAGCTCTTCGATACCACTAACGTCTAACTCTATTTCTAAGTTCGTTATCTAGCTAGCTAGATAATACAATTACTGTATTGTTACCCAAATTGCATAAGTTTATGAACCAGTGTGGATAATTTTATGGAACAGCGCCCCTAGCGACAAAAGTAGGCAAACTTTCCAACTTCATACAAATTTGAGTTAACTTTTACGCTATCGAGAACGTTAAAAAATGTGTGCGTGTACTAGTGTACACACGTAAGAAGTGAAACTTCTTTATGGCCTTATTTTTCGAAAAATGATCTACATGCAACTTTCTAGAAATTGGTTAAATAAAGTTAAATTAGATAAAGTTTAAACAAAAGGATTTTATTATCATAGACATGAATACAAAAAAGTTAAATTAGATAAAGTTTAAACAAAAGGNCACTCCCCATGGAACATACGGTACAAAATACAGAGGGAACCGAAGTCCCTCCGCAGACCCAGAGGCTCCAAACGATCCGAGAGAATGGGATTATCGACAATCCGAACGGCCCTCCTCTGTATGGAGTCAAATGGAAGAAGCTGGTATTTGGGAGCCCCGGCCCAGAGATGGGAGCAGTACTCCACGCGAGGCCGGACTTGTGCTTGCTTGTGTTGTCAGGTTTGAGCCCCGTGAGCTCACCTACTTGTTAGGGTTACGCTGAAATGGTCACTAAAGACCATCATCAGCGTCGGCAGGAAAAAAAAAACAAATTGTTTTAGCTTCCGATGTAATTCCTTGTCGAACGTCTTGTAAGCCCGGGTCAAGCTGGAGACATTGATAGAGTTTGTCTGATGCTGTAAATATAACAGTGACGATATAAACCAATATTTTAGAGAGCCAATGTTAGCATCCTGTATGTATTTCAGTACATCAAAGCTTAGAGATAAACGGTAATGGAAATTCATTCGACAAATAATGAATTGTTAATTGATTTAAAAAAAGGGGTAACGTTGACTGATATTAGTGTAACTTTTCAACAATGCTCTGTTGTATTACTTGCAACTTTATTGTTTTCTAATCATAGGGGATGGAACTAAACTTGAAATCAAAAGTACCTCAGTATCGCACGAAATAATATTCAGTGAGCATTTGTGGGACGGCCACCTACCAGATGGACCGACGACCTGGTAAAAATTGCTGGGTCACGTTGGATGCAGGTGGCAACGGACCGGCCGCACTGGACATCAGTTGAAGAGGCCTATGTTCAGCAGTGGACAGTAGACAGGCTGAGATGATGATGATGATGATGATGATGAACATTTGAAAGAAGCCACAGTCTATTTTTCTTGTAGATTTTGTCATTTCACAAACAGTATAGCTTTGATATTGTGTTCCCAACAGTACTGAACTGATCTCTGGGCATTCTCAGTGACGCAGATCCTTCTAATTATTAATGTTTCTGTGTTTATATAAATTTTATTTGAAGCACTAAAACTGCTCACTTTCTTGACTGCCTCAGTCTTATACGTAAAGGTCCTCTCTATTCAATTCAATTCCTCCGACAGTCAAATTTAATATTTCATTCCTAAATTTTCGGATATTTTTCCGTCCCTTACTCCAATTGGAATTCCCGCGTGGCCGTTGATGCGCACCTATGTGAAAGTACCCAAGGGAAAACAGATCTTGGATCTCGCAACGTGTACAATCATCATAGACAACGGCAGTCGGGAGACAATGCAGGTTCAGGTGGAACTTGACGAGAAACTGAGAACAGACTGACAGTCCAGGAATTTTTAACTGTAACTCTTGGACTATTTACGAATGTGTGGGAATGCTTGTGAAGTCGTCATGGCCTAAAGGTTAAAACGTCTGGTGCATTCGTGTCGAGCGAAGCACCGGTGTTCGAATCCCACAGGCGGATACCGATTTTCTGAAGAATTTAACAGGGCTTGGTGTTTATCCTTATAGAAAATATGAAGAACGGTTTGTGCAATGTGCTTTGGACAATCATGGTGACCCGAGCAAGTTAAATCAGAATAAATTAAAGCCGGCCCTGTGCATGAAAAAATCGTGATACGCAACGACTTGCCTCCACACCTGACATATTCAACCGTTATCTATAGCTGCATACAGATAGTCATGTAGAGATGTTAAAGATTATCGAATATACCGCAGTTCCGTAATGACGTCACAACTAAACGCCTAGACGTTTCTACAACAAATACCTATAACTAAGAATCATTCCTATTATTAGAATATTTGTCGTTAATACAATTCGATCTTTCCATCGATGAGTTTACTAGCTTTTCGATACCACTAACATTAACTCTCTTTCCAAACTCGTTAACTAGCTAGCTAGACAATACAATCACTGCATTGTTACCCGAATCACATACTTTTATGAACCAGTGTGCTATGCAGTTTGAATAGCGTTCCTAGCGACAAAAGTAGGCAAACGTTCTCCAGACAAATTTGAGTTAACTTTAACGCTATCGAGAACGTTAAAAAGCTCGCACAAAGCATACAGAAGTCAAATACAGTTTAAAAAAATAACAGCTACCCCCTAAAAGGGGATCTTAAGTAACAATCTTGAACAATGAGATTTATTTACATTCAGATTGTATGCTCTAAGTACCACCTCATGACAATTAAAGCAAAACTCAGGAACTATTCAAGCAGTAAAATGGATCTGACTTACAAACCACACCGACTTAAACCGAGATAGCTACCGTACGCGACCGCGTCGTAATGTAATGGCCACAACTTTTATGCTGATAGCCTTGAGAAGCTATTTCAGCTTCGCCCTAACAGTGAGCTCGGTGAGCTCACGGGGTTCAAACCGCAGTGTCGCTAACACTGGCCCTAGCAAGAGCCGTGCTTTGCAGAATCTACCATCAGATCGGAAACGCGACCCACTGAGAAGATCCGGTGAGAAACTCAGTGGGGCTGTGTCTGTGGGTGGCCACGAACATTCTCCGTACTGCCTTTTATAGGCAGCGGCAACCTACCCTTAGAATAAAAAAAGGCTAAACATCTTTTAATATATTTACAGAGCTTCAAATCGATTAAAAATATTTGAAAGTCGGTTTATAGTTGTAAAGCAAAGCCCAAATAGGATTCTAAGACATTCGCGTTCCCCGCTGATATTCGAGGAAAAGGGTAGCTTCTCGTGATCTAATACGAATGTTGATGGCAGGTGGGATCCATCAGCAGCACAGCGGAGGGCACATGTCCACCGTCCCGGTCAGCATGTCCTCATCAGCATCAGACAGCGACAAGCCAGCCAAGCAGAAGAGGCACAGAACGAGGTTAGTACCGAATGTTCTACAAGTTTCTAGGTATGATACATATATCTACGAGGTATTCACAAGAGGTCTTACTGGAGGTAGGACCTCTTCTGAGTCAGCACGGGTAGGTACCACCACCCTGCCTATTTCTACCTTGAAGCAGTAATGCATTTCGGTTTGAAGGGCGGGGCAGCCGTTGTAACTATAGGACCTTAGAACTTATATCTCAAGGTGGGTGGCGCATTTACGTTGCAGATGTCTATGGGCTCCGGTAACCACTTAGCATCAGGTGGGCTGTGAGATCGTCCACCCATCTAAGCAATAAAAAAAACGAAGCTTCTACATATTATTCCATATCTTTTTGGCTTATGTAAGTGAATGAGCTCACTGCCTACCTTGTGTTAAATAAGTGGCTACCAGAGTCCACAGACATCACTAGTGACTTGTTCCACCAATCTTGAGACATAAGATCTAAGTCCAAATCGCATGACGTTTAAGTCACCTTGCAAACACATTGCTGCCATGCGTCAAAGATAGGCAGGGGTTGTTCTCCACCCGGGCAGGCTCTGAGATGCGCCTCACCACCAGAAATATAGTTTTGTAATTCACACTAAGTCTGTAATTGTACAATTATCAGTAGGTACGTTCAATATCCTGACTGTTGCCAATAAAAAAAACAATCCTGATTTTAAATTCATGTGACAAAGAACAGAGTTTTCCACAGGTTCACGCCGGCGCAACTGAACGAGCTGGAGAGATGCTTCTCCAAGACTCATTACCCTGACATCTTCATGAGAGAAGAGATCGCTATGAGGATCGGCCTCACCGAAAGCCGAGTCCAGGTATGTGGCGAAACTTTAATCATCATCATCCGTCAGCAATACTTCACTTCAGCTAGTACTGGCGGTGTACTCCGTCAATATAAGTAGATGAGGATACCGATCAAAATATTAATTATATAGCTCTAGATTATTTATAACAGTTTATCGGAAATACTAAAATGAATTAGGGTAGGCAGCGGCTTGGCGGTAGGCAGCGGCTTGGGGTAGGCAGCGGCTTGGCTCTGCCCCTGGTATTGCTGAAGTCCATGGGCGGCGGTAACCACTCACCATCAGGTGGGCCGTATGCTCGTCTGCCTACAAAGGCAATAAAAAAAAAAAGGGTGTCACTACACATGTAATTGAAGAATAAACAAATATTCGCGTATCCATCAGAGGCATTACGCATAGTTTGCAAAAACACATTAAAATCTTTAAAAGAATCGTTTCATATTTAAAAAAAAAAGTGTTACATTCAAATTTATCAATGATACTGTTTAATTTTGAGAATCAAAGTTCAAACAAAGCGCACAGAACAAACAATGGCAACACCGTTAACATCCGTCCGTAATAATATTCACAAAACAAATACACATGCATTAAGAAAGAAAGAAAAAAAAACTGGGTCTAAAAGGTCACCTTGCGTCCCTCTTCGCACTACCCACACGAAACTTGCACTATATCGATACATTTCACAGGATTCCCTACCTGTGGCTGCAGCACAGGGACGTATTCCCGATGCGTAAACCCTGGATAATATTATCCAACATCAAAATTTTTGTATAAAAATATATATGAATCAGACTCCCGCCTAGACTGTATCAGGTTCCATCCTAGAATACCTGGATCTGACCACATTAATAATGTCAAATAGGCTCCGTAGGGCATCGTGTTGAGGATATTTTGTTTGATCTAGCATAAAATGTGTGCACTCAAAGCTTTAAGGGACGGGCCCACGCGTTGCGCCCGAGCTTAATCCTAAAAACTAATGGAATAAAGAGCTGAATAGTGCTTATTAACTTTATTAAATTAATTAATGATGAATTTTTTTAACGAGTCTAAATGCAGCTTGTCATTCAGAATAAGCTAAGGTCTATATATAGAACACAAACTGAAACTCAACAGCTAGATATGACGTCACACATTATGATTGACGTCAAAAGAAATTAGATTTTATTAAGTCCATCATCATCATCATCATTCTTTCCTATTACCCTCTGCTGGGGTGTAGGGCTCGAATCATTTTTTTCTATTTATATCGGTCTTGGGCAGTCTGTTCTAACTCCTCCCACGTCATGCCCAAGACCCCTAGCTCCTGCTCCACCGAGCGACGCCAAGTTGTTCTGGGGCGGCCTCTCTTCCTTTTGCCAGACACTTTCCAGGTCAGTGCTCTCTTTGATAGGTGGGTATCGGGCTTTCTCAAAGTGTGACCAATCCAATGCCACTTCCGCGTAAGGAATTAAGTCCATACTAATATATAAATCTACAGTGGTTTTACGGATGTTCCGTTATAACTACTGAACCATGCATCCGATTGACTTGAAACTTGGTATCCATGTAGAAAATACATGTACTTAATGGATAGGCCAATATTTATATGAGTGTTGGACTCCTTACACCAGTTGTAGGGGCGTTAATTATGAGAATCTTTGTGGGGGGGTGAGAAATAATAATGTTAATTTTAAATGCCCAGCGAAGCGGACGGGTACAGCTAGTCTGATATAAAATTAGGTTAAAGAAAGCTCACAGGTCAGAAATACAAATGTTACCACATTCTTTTCTGCTTAAAGTTTTGAATTAATTTCGATCGCAGCACAAGGAATAGCCCCCAACGTTTTGAATCGAATCCATCACCGTCTCACCTATACATAAAATGAGTGAAACTTGAATTCTGTGTGTTTTTAAAGTTCGGATGGGTGGTCGGTGCTGTCGAAGGCTTCGCTCTAAGCGTCGTTGCCGGGTCTGCATTTTATGGTTGTATTTATAGGTTCGTGCTACCGATTCAATTCCGTTGTTTTTTTACAATCGTTTTATGAAGCAATCGATTTATGTCTTTGTCAGTGTTAGTGTATGTTATTAGTTGTCTTTCCGAATTGGGGTCCGGTGGAGTGCGTAGTGCTTGTTGATACTCACGGCTAACCCTTTCGCATTGTGGTTTTTTTTATTGCTTAGATGGATGGACGAGCTCACAGCCCACCTGATGTTAAGTGGATACTGGAGTCCATAGACATCTACGACGTAAATGCGCCACCCATCTTGAGATATAAGTTCTAAGGTCTCAGTATAGTTACAACGGCTACCCCACCCTTCGAACCGAAACGCATTACTGCTTCACGGCGGAAACAGGCGGGGTGGTGGTACTTACCCGTGCGGACTCCTAAGAGGTCCTACCACCAATGATTACGCAAATTATAATTTTGCGGGTTTGATTTTTATTACACGATGTTATTCCTTCACCGTGGAAATCAATCGTGAACATTTGTTGAGTACGTATTTCATTAGAAAAATTGGTACCCGCCTGCGGGATTCGAACACCGGTGCTTCGCTACATACGAATACACCGGACGTTTTATCATTTAGGCCACGACGACTTCAAATGTTTTTAGACAATGTTAATTCCCAAAAATGTTCTTACATATTTTGTTAAATCGTCCATGTTTGTTTTATACCAGTTACGGTGTATGTTCGCTCTCCCAAATAAGCAATAAAAAAACCATTTCAAAATGTACACATTGTTATCACAATACAAAGTTATTAACGCAATGAAAAAACAAATATTTCATCGCTTCTCACTATTGTCTTTTTTTTATATATTTTATTGCATAATTCGGTGGACGAGTGTACAGCCCATCTGATGCTAAGTGGTTACCGGAGCCCGGAACCGGAGCGTAAATGCAGCAACACACCTTGAGATATGAGTTCTAAGGTCTCAGTACAGTTACATAGTTACATTGTCTAGTGATGTAGTCTGTATTCACATACTCGAGTCTTTTTGGAATCGAAAATGTACCATCAGATATACTGTCCCGTTTTCTTCCTACACTCCGGACAAGAGAAGGTCTGTCAGTGGGTCGCGTTTCCGATCCGGTGGTAGATTCTGCGAAGCACGGCTCTTGCTAGGGTCAGTGTTAGCAACACTCCGGTTGAGCCCCGCGAGCTCACCTACAAACGTTAGGGCGAAGCTGAAATAGCCTCTCAAGGCTATCAGCATAGGTAGGAAAAAAAAAAAAAAAAGAAGGTCTGTAAAACCTTGTTAATGCGTTATTTTTTTTCCTAATATGTTATTCCACATTACATGAGCACACACAGAGTGAGGCAGTTTGTGACAGTATTTACGTTGTACATGTCTATGGCCTCCTGTAACGACCACTTAACACCAGGTGGGCCGTCAGCTCGTCCACTCATTTAATAAATAAATAAAACTGAACATTTTGAACTGATCAGTTAAATTGAATACTAATAATACTACTACTAATACTAATAATAGTTTACTTTAATAAAAACTTACATAAAGGTTAACAAACTCTAATCTATATTGCGCTACTGATTCGACTTCTATCAAATATTATGAGTCCAATTGACACGCGCTCGAAAAAGACCACTAAAAGCATCTGCAAGCAACCGGTGCTATCGGGAGTACCTATGTTTCATTAATCTGCTACTGTCACTTTGTCAAATCACTTAGTTTCAAGTTAAACTTTGCTTTACTTTGGACATTAGACGTAATTTGTGTGAGCCCACTAATATTTGAGTATCGTTAGCGCTTGTCACACACGAGCCGGCAGTTCGGCCAGAGCTTTGTACGCTGCTATATATATCGGATCTGTTCTTTTAAATTTCCGTGTACATCTTTATTGCTCTCGATCGGAAGACGATTGTGCGGATCACCTGATCTTAAGTATCCATCAAAGCGTAATCTTTCATTCGTGTTACCCGTATAACTGGAACGCTGTCATGCATGAAATCATTGCATGTTTGATTTGTGTTTGACAACACCCACTTAGATTCTGATTCGTGAGGTCTAGTCTAAACTAAGTTTAATGAATGAATGAATTTTACATAGTACTAGCTGACCTGGCAAACATTGTTTTGCCATTTATAAGATTTCTAGGGAATTCCTAGTGTAGAAAAAACAACTAACTTATTGTAAGTGTGTAAGGATGTGGTAAATGAGTGACAGAGGTATGTAGTGCTGTGAACGATGAGGGAATATATAATAAAAATAACAAAACCTCATTCAACCACATAATACCTCATTATAACAAAAAAAATAGTCCAAATAAAAATATATATATTAGGGGTGGACAACCTTAATCACTTAGGGGTATGAAAAATAGATGGTAGCCGATTCTCAGGCTTACTGAATATGCATAAAAAATTTCATGAGAATCGGTCAAGCGGTTTCGGAGGAGTATGGGAACGAACATTGTGACACGAGAATTTTATATATTAGATTATCGCGGCGCGCTTCCAAACTTAAATGATGTTAAAACACAAACCAGCATTTAAAACCAATATGCCCAGATGCCAAATAGCAAATATTTTTCATAAAATCTTCGCTTCAACTGGGTATCGAATCGCCGTCCCGTGATTAAATAGTCAGCCACCACTCGAGGCGAGCCAACAGCGTACAATCGTGGCTTATGGAGGCTCACATCGCTCCGCGGTACACAAAGTAAAAAGAAAATCATATGCAATAACAATAGTGAGCTTAGTATCACTTAGAAGCTCAAATCGTCTACAATCGAACTGAACAACAGAATTGTTCTGCGTGTCTATTTAAATATCTAGTGAAACTATTTCAGTTAATTGTGAAAATGTGTGGTTTTGATATATTTCTCCCTACCTATGCTGATAGCCTTCAGAGGCTATTTCAGCTTCTCCTTGACGTGTAGATGAGCTCACGGGGCTCAAATCGGAGTTCTGCTAACACTGGCCCTAGCAAGAGCAGTGCTTCGCAGAATCTGCCACCGGATCGGAAACTTGACCCACTGATAAGATCCGGCGAGAAACTCAGTGGGCTG